TCAGTAAGGCTCGAAGCTTGAAGCCCGGGGAACGAAGTTTGTCCCTGCCGTGACCATGAGCTACACCGGAAAACTCAGCAGCAGCAGCAGCAGCAGCAGTAGTAGTAGGGGTAGAATTCATCATCGCCCACAACCATCCGCACCGCCACCTGCACCCCCGCACCACGCACAGCTTCGCAAGACCATCATCGGCATCACCAGCACCGTCTTTGTCAGGCCTGCTGCGCAGCGACGAGCTGCACTGCTAGGACGAGAGAACTGCAAACACTTCAATTTTTGCAAATTCAGTGGTTGAGGCTTTAGTTTCGGTATCAGGGTTCGGGGTCTAGGAGTGTGTGATGTGGGGTTCTGGGTTTCGGGCTGTTAGAAGGTCAATTTCGATTATTCAGATTGAGAGCCTGATCAGTGTACCTTCGGCTTCTGAGCCGCGTCTGGCACCCGGATGAAGGAAGTGTTCAAGCCTCTTCTGAATGGCTTTCCAGGAGTCGCTTTGGCGGCTGCCACTGGGCTCTTCAGCTGGGCTCGGCACTCGGCGTTTGAACGCCGGAGGCGTTTTTGTACTGAAGCCGGATATATATCAGCGCGACTGCGGCAGAGGGTTGATGTAGCTCGTGAGGAGACCTCAAACTGAGAAAGAATATGACTAAGCCCTCGTGCATCTCCCGCTCACTAGATGCCCATTCTTCAGGTGTGGGGCATCCCCCTTCATTTAAAAACTGTACAGATCTCCTCTTAGTAGATCATTCAACTTGAAAGATCATACAGTTTCAGCTGCGACAGAAAACTGGCGACGACTTTCCAGAACTCCCTTAGGTACAGGTTTTCCACACACAGATACAGGCCCATTGATTCACCTACACCCACACAGAGACGCATCGCACCATACGGTCACAGAAGCAGCCTTCAGGCCTTCGTTGGAGAGCAGGTCCCGCGCACCGGCCTCAGCTGTGCCCAACAGCAAGCCGCATACATGGGTTGTAGACAACCTGTGCTCCATCCAGCCATGGCTACAGTGACTAGTCGTTCCATTGTTTTCTTCTCTTGTCTTAACTATCCGTCGTGCCTGTTCTTGTTGCTCTCCAATGTCGTCGAGAGTGCCAGATTGAATAGCTATTGCTGCTGGCATGATTATTCCCACTCGTTCCGTCAATGCTGTTGCGGCCGCGACTACTGTCACTGCTGAACCCTGAACATGAACCGCACCCTGTTTCCAAAATTCCTGTGTCCTGTCACCGTGTACCAGTCTCCCCAAACTCTCGCGTTCCTCAACTCTGAGCTGTGAAGCGATCCCTAGATCCTTACTATGCCTGGAATTTTCCTACGGATTCGAAGGTCAACCGGGCTTACGCAGCCCGCTGGTGGAGGAGGTAGATCCCGAAGATGACTTCAGATAGATTACGGATCATGGGGTTCAGGAAGACAGTGCCCTTCAACTTAAGTAGAGTCGCGTTTGCACTAGATTATGCCCCCTGTTGGGGTCTTTGTGACAAATAGGTCGCTCGACCCTGTTGTGTACAAGAAATCCCCAGACGACCTTAGCAAACGATGCGCATGAACCCTACGATCATCATCATCATCCCTAGACGGCAGTTGAAACTCAAGGACTTTTCGGGGTACGGTCTGCTATTCACCTAGAGCCTGATCTCCTCGAGTGGGGCTCGTCTGGCCTGTCAGGTAACATGCCATGCTCTCGGGATCCAGCCCGGTGTTGCTACACCGTCATCTTGTGAGACAATCATTTTAAGAAACAGTGGCCATGCAACAGTAGTCTGGCAAACCTCGTAAGGGTCCAACTTGAAGCAGCTGACGTTGCAAGGAGCCGTCGTTGGTGGCGAGGCCTGTCACACTGCTGCCGATTGGAACTGATGGAACGGGCGGAGAATTTGTTCAGCGTTCTCGAGTATTGCATGTAGCATTGCTGAGTATTGGCCTGAAGCTCCAACATAATCACACAGACACATCAACAGTCGTCGCATGATGACTGTGTGTCAAGGCAACATGCATGTGTGTTTATGTGCACATAATGTGTGTATAGATATAGGTGTAACTGTATATGTATATATGTATTTATGTATGTATGTATGTATGTATGTATGTATGTGTCTGTCTGTATGCATGACTGTATGTCTGTATGTACGCGTGTATGTATGGGCGTCTATGTATGATGTATAGGTGTGTATGTAGGTATGTATGTAGGTTGTTATGTATGTACGTCATGCATGATTATGTGTATGTATGTATTTGTGTATGTATCTACGCGTTGATTGTCCAAATGTTTATGTATATGTACGTGTATGTGTATATTTATATGCACTTGTATGCATGCATGCATGTGCAAGTATTTATATATACACACAACATATACAAGACATACATACACAGATACGTAAGCACATACATGCATGTGGCACCCCCTTTCCCTATTTACCAAGAAGATCCTTTACCTTCCTGCTGCAAGTACGCGCCCTCGATGAACCGCGGGCATGTTGGAAAGACGTTTTTGAGATTCAGGGTTGTCCAGCATGGGTTTCGT